AATAAAAAATATATACTATATTCTATATATACAAAACACATACACACATACATACATACACACACACATAATTATTATAGAATATTAACAGAATATATTATATATACATACGTATGTACAGATATACATACATATACATACATCCACAGACAACATTTATTACCATAATAAGTATATCACAATATACATCCACAAATACATACATATACTAAGACATAAGCGAGTACATTCATATATAATACGTATTCTCAGTATCTATATGGTATCTATTTGTGTCTATCTAAAAAAAAAAAGATAATAATAATAAGATTCATGGAATCTTCAAGCGCAGTTTGGCTTTGTTCATAAATATTTTGTAAACTTGTTGAGAAAAAGATTTAAAGTCTACATCATTTTTGATGATAGTCGGTAATTCATTAAATACCTTTGAGCAGTTATCCTAGAATGTTGCTGTTTCAAGAGGGACGACTAGAWTTGTACTACAACTTGACCGCAACTTCCGATGGACTTTGCGTTTTTCAAGTTTCAAGTAATCTGGGAACGATGGGTCCCACAGCGATTTATGAGCTATACGTAATAGATGATATTCAGTCCTTTCTTTAACAGGGAGCCACTTGAGGTGCTCCACTACATCTCTTTCGGTGTTATATTTATTCAATATAAAGCTTGCCGCTGCATTCTGAATTCGCTGTAACTTCTTTTGTTGGTACTGCAGCGGAAGTGGATGGAACACGATATCATTATAGTCCAGTTTGGACAGGACTAAACTTTCAGCTAGTTGCTTTCTCACGTTGAGTGGAGCCAGGTTCTTTAGTTTCCGAAGAGTGGATAACACTGCATAGCACGAAGAAGATAAGTATTTAATGTGATCACTCCATTTGAGATGCTCATTAATCCATAATCCCAGAAGCTTAAATGAAGATGTTCTTTCAAGCACTTTTCTCTTGATTGCAACATTAGGTACCAGATCCTTGAGACAATGAGCTGTTGACATGTGCTGTGTTGTTAAGAGCATCTGCTTAGTTTTGGAACCATTGAGAAAACTATTTATCAAGGTTGAAGTTTACGATTTTTTTTACTACGCAGTTAACCGAATATATAGTTTGAAAATTGGGTCTCAATGAAAATCCCGTAATTTTAACGAAATGTCTTAAAATCATAACTGAAGATAGAGAAATAATGAATTATAACATATGTGAATGTTTGATAAGTGTTGTATTTGAAAGAATATTAATCAGTCTAAATATTTTCAGGTCGTTTCCCGTTCAGGTGTCCTGATTTGTTGTCAATTAGCAAGGATGCATCACATGTTTATGTGTCAAGATCATCACATCGTTGGTCATTAAATGAGATAATTTAGTATTATTGGTTATTAATAATAAAACTTGGAAAAAAGTACGAAATATACTTTTTAGTGACATTTGTCTCAAATTATTCTGTCAAAATCAAACTTTTTTTAAAAAAGGGCACTCAAAGTGTTGCTATTGAAATCCAACCATAACACTGATTCTTAATTTTTTCTATTTATACATGTATCCTTAAAATATGAATATTTCGCTAAATTTACACAATTCAGTTTTGTATTGCCATTCATGTGAATATCCATCAAACAATGATTTTGCTAAAGTAGGACATGATGTAATAGGCCATTTGCAGGAATTGATCACGTGTCAATTTGCCCCATAGCAACAAGCCCGTGGTGGGCAAGCCAGCCGCAAATTCCTTGACAACAATAAGGCTTTGAGTGGCAAAGCGTAGCGATACCAAGACTATAGTGAAGTTTTTAACCTTTGTTCTGTTTTGATTGACCCGATCCTCCGTATAAAGGTGAAAGAAGTGATTTCTTATCGTTGGCGATAATTTTTATTATAAAGTTTGGCCGCAAAAGAGAGTTTTTTGTCTTTATTCTGGTCGCCGTGGACCGAAGACGCGTGTGCAATAGCGGAATTCTCAGGGATGTTTATGACTCATTCAAACCCCGATTTAACCTCAAAATTTTGCTTCAATTGTCAAGATTCTTTTAAAATGAATGCAGATATACCTACAAATCCTTTTTATGGTAATTAAAACTCATATTTGCTAGCTTTTGAGGCCTGATTTTACGTCGTGATTTTAAAATTCGAGTTATGATATCTTCGCCGACTACTGGCGGCAACAATTATAGAATGTTTTTGTGTTTTAAATGCTTCTCGAACTTAATTTCGAATTTAGTGATTTCAGATGAATTGACTGATATTT